CAGACGTTGCGCTAGTATAGTTTGTCTAGCGAAATGGGAAGCTTTGCTAGAAACCGTATCGATATTGGAAAATCATTTATCCCGTCTAATCCACGTAGCAGGTACGCCTTGACTTTTGACAGACCCGAATCGCTACCTAGCTATGTAGACAGATTAATGCATTCCGCCTAGGGCTAACTTGGACTATACGTCAAAGTCACGAGGCTTTATGCATAAGATATAATACAGGAGGCTCTATTTGATATTAACATTGCACACAAGCAGCATGTAGTCTGAAATATTAAAGGTTGTTTTTATTTGATTATATTTTCAAGCTTATTGCATATAATGAAATACAAATGGACTATGTATTTAAATTAAAATTGAAATGTGTTTGACATTCAATTAAAATGTTTAAAATTGATCCAAGTTAACAATTACATCTTTAAGTTCATATAATAAGAATGAAAGACTAAAAGCATTATGTACATTTAATTTAAAATTTAAAATTTAACATGCAAGTAATATGCGGTCAAATATATTAAATGATATATATTTAACAGGGTTGGGTAGTGCTAAGATAAAAAGATAAAAGTTAAGTTAAAAAGTCAAAAAGTTAATTAATTTTAACTTAGCTTAGTTACATTTTAGACTCTTAACTTTTTAACTTTATTTAGTTACATTTTATATCCGTAACTATTAATTTTTTATTTAATTCTTTGAAGTTGAGTCTCAGACATAATATGCGGCAATAGCGATAACTTGAGATGAGGTGAAAATTGCAAAAGTGATCAAATTTACTAGGTGTTGACCAATGAAATTATAAATATTCTAGTGAATTTGTAATTTTCACCTCATTTCAAATTACACAATCGATCCCCAAATTTCAATCTGTCAGAAACCATGTATTTCGATGTATTTATAGTTTCTGATAGGTTGAAATATCATTCCTTATTACTATCGCTACTTCCTCGTATTGTCTAAAGCTTTAATCACATCACAGGCCAGTATTTATAGTCGAATCTTATATACTAAACAGTACATATAAACAAAATATGTAAATAAAATATAGAGTATTTTCTAAATGAAGTATATATTTGTCATTTCCATTATTTGTAAGATTGAAACCCTGGAATCATGAATTTAAAAAATAAAAAAAAACAAATTTAACTTTTAAATTTCTCAATTACTTTTTTTTATTAACTTAACTTTTAATTCAATTAATTTCATTATAAATTAACTTGTATATTAACTAAGTCAAATTTTCAAGGTTGTTAACTTTAACTTAACTTAGTTAAAAAAAGAGTTAACTTACCCTGATATTTAATGGTATCAAAGGATATTAAAGATGGTATTAAAAGGTAATTAAATGGCATTAAAGGGTATAAATTAAGCCAATGATTTCTCTCTATCATTGCTTTCTTTTTAAAACAAGAGTGGAAAAAAAAAAGGTTTTATTTTTATATTGAGAATATTGAATCATTATTACATCAAAAGTACTACTGAGAGGATTTAACTTAACTCGTAAAAATCGGACGATCCAGAGATCAGGTCCAATCCTCTTTCTTTTAAAATTATTTCGTGTCCTACATTAGAGAATATTTTTGGATTAGTATTCACCGTAGGGAAATCTGTTTTAATTATGGACTTAAATTAATCCGTCATTCCTAGTTAAAATACAATTTAATTTTGCCACATTTAATTATTTTATGTAGATACAGAACAAAAGTTCGAATCTATTTTCATACTCAGTCACGTCCATTACGGCGATGTTACAATAGCTAATAGTGCAATTATTTGATATTTGCTCACGCATATATTTCAATTGAACAAATGCTTATGGTCGACTAATGCCAACTGATGCCTATGGCACGGTGCCTAATGTAATGAGCATTTGGCACACACGCAGTATGTGCAAACTATAAAAGATAGTTTACGCATCACGATTGCGTATTCTAAAATTTCTGATCTTAATTTTATAATCGGTATTCCCTCTTTCTTCTTCTATCAATATCGAAATTAATTTTTTCTCAACAAAGATACGATCATAGGAAATGTCATGTTTTTTAATCACATTCTTAAATGTCAATACTAAAAATTTCATTGAAATAAAATTTACTTAAAGTTAAGTAAAGAGTAAGATGCTGCATCTGCAATTGAAAAAGTTGAAAAATTATTGGTTTTCATCAAAAGAGAAAATTTATTTTAGATTTTGACATATTATTTATAGAATACATGTATTTTTAAAGTTATTTGTTTTCTATTTGACAGAGTACATCAGTATACGAGTTATCTCTCATCGAGTTATCCGGAGCAGCGTGTTCTAGCTTTTTTTTTTGGAAATATGCTTCCGGCGTTTTCATAGCGATTACGATCATTCATGTGCCTCGTGAAAACGTGTTAAATGGTTCCAAAAAAAAAACGTTAAAAATAGCAATTCAGATATTTTATCAACTTATGAAAAAAAAAAAGAAAAATCGTTTTTTATATCATAATACAATAAAGCAACATGCCAGAATACATGATTTGATAATTTTGCTAAATCGCCAATTCTACATCAATCTCATATATTCATTGGTGAAAAATAAAAACAAATTAACTCCAAATTAATCAAAAAATTCGTGGATGAAAAGCCATTTGCTAGATTTATAAGGTATTTTGCAGCATCAACATATAGATAGAGCAATTTGAAAAATGTTCTTTTAGCGATTGTTACAACACTTATTTGATATACATTCTTATATGTACATATTCATATAGGTAGGCGGGTACCAACGTATCTATTCGACGTTGTCGTTAGACAGGACGTGACGTAGAGGGTGGCGAAAGGAGCCGTACGGCACGACGACCCACATTCCGTCGAATTTAATTTCATGCCTTATCACTGGTAGCCGTGGTACAATGCCTTAACTAGGACGGTCGCGGATCTCGCGCGTGCACAATTACACGTGGAACCACTGTATACGTATATGCATACGCACACATCATTTGTTAACGGTGTCATACGCATACGTGTTCCATGTGCTTCACTCTTTACTCTTCTCGCACACATTCTATTTATACATCTCTCTTCTATTCTCTCTCAGACAGATCTCTTATTCTCTCATCCTTTCCTCTCTTTTTCTCTCTTTTCCTCTTTCTCTCTCTTTCCCTTTCTGTAATTACTCTATGTCCTAACTCTTTTCTCTCTATATTAACTTTTTATCCTTTTTTTTATCTTGTTGTAAAATCAAAATTAATATTTTTTTGCTAAATATTAATTATCGAACATCACAATTTACCTTTAGAATAATTGTTCCATTTCTCATATCGAATAGTATTCGAATAATTCGCCATGCCTATTTATTCAATTGCGCGATGATGCCTGATGCCTCTCGAGCGCCTTACATGCGAAGACGAGACATCTTCTTCAGACGAAGCAGTTGTCGATGCTTTTCACATCTTGAAAATCTAACGTTCTAACGTATATTCACTCGAAACTCGTGCTTTTCTCGACGATCTACATACGCGTTCTCTTCGTCTTGACCCTTATCTCTCTTTCTCCCTCCCTCTCTCTCTCTCTCTCTCTCTCTCTCTCTCTCTGAAATGCATTCATCCTCTTTCCCCTCTTTCTCTCCCAGATTCTCAGTCCTTTACAGGCATTCCTATCGCGGTCTAGGATAGTGAATTCGTGTTCCGTCTGTCTTCATTTCTGCTGCTGTTTCTCCGTTTTCCACCGTTCCAGCGCGTCGAGTCGCGCAAGTGCGCCTATTATACATCGTGCATCTGATGTACGCGTTTCTGTAACGAGTGAACGCGAGCAGTGAATGTATACCAAGGGTCGATCGTGTGGCTGGCTATTTCTGCACGTGTTCCGACTTTACGTGGTGACGATTGCTTTATCAGATGTACGAGGCTGACTGACGGAACGGGGTACGCGCCATCGGATCTCGTGTCACCGGAATAAAAGTCGTTTTGTAAACTAAGCTATATCGTAACAAAAATAGATCATGAAACCGTGCTCTTAATTAATTCCATACAAGTAGACTTTTCTCTGATAATATCTTATTTTGAAGTTTAATTTTGTACTCGAAAAGATATTTATTAATATATTTAAAAGTAATGAAAAGTTGTCGAGAAAAGATGACGCCAGTTTCTTTTTTTGTTAAAATAAAATTGATTTTATAATTAGTCAGTAGAATGGATTCTTTTAGACATATCTGATGATACAATACCCCACATAATACATATTTTATGACGTTTATCATAAATAGTCCTTCATATTTATACTATTTACAGTCATGCTAGCTAGAAATAATAGTAATAGCAATAATATATATAATAATAGGAATAATAAATCTACCGTATTTTCCGCAAGAATATTTATATAGACTACGATGAGTTAATCGCTCAATTTACAAAAGTCTTTGTTTCACATGAATACGAAATGAAGGAGCTACTAGGAAGGTCATTAACTAGCCAATATAAGAGGTCTGTTCTTTTTCGAAGAATTCTGAACTGGTTCTGAACTAGTGCAGTAAGTTAGAGTGAAACGAACTATACCTGTCTCTCTTTAATTTATTGCACCAGTGTACACTAGTTCAGAACTTGCGGGGTGGAAAAAAACAGAGTTGGATTATTAATGACGATATATATAATTAGATGTATCGACGATAGTCGCATATCGCTACTTTAAACCCCCCACATCATATGGAAGTCAGAAATTCTATCGGATTGAAATGAGGATGATCAGCAAGTAGTAAAATATGGCATTGACATCGTTTACGATTATACATATAGCTATTACTTCGCGAGTACGTTTGAACATCTTTCTTTTCTCTAGTAGTCTCATTGACTTTCTTTCATTTTCTTAAAATGATAGTGATACAAGCTATCTTCCATAGGACAAAAGATATAACTAACACAAAAGAACGAAAAGTATCAGAAACAACACGCGTCCATTTAGAAATTATTTGCAACAATCTGCTCTAAATCCCGGTTAGCAATATACTTAATCATGTATGATTACGACTGTGATGCAGGTCAAACAGCGTACTAGGTGGATGGCGACAGCGATGATCGTAGTACGACGACGATAGAAAGACGTTAGAACGTTACCGCTTGCGGCTGCAGCTGCGGCGTCATCAGTCGCTGCACCTGCAGCTGCGGTGGTGGCGGTGGCAACGATTTAATAAGAGGGCGAAACGATGCAGAACACCGGTGACTACTATCAAAGAGCGCCGAGATGTTGTCCGGGTAGAAGTGGCAACAGCAACAACAACAATAATAGTGCGAGCGGATCGGTGCGAGGCGCGGAGCTGCTCTGCTGCTGCTGCAGCTGCAGCACCTCTACCTCCACGAAGACTCCGGGACTGCTAGCGAGTCTTGGCGTGTGTGTGCTCGTCCTCGGCTACACCCTCCTCGGCGCGTTCGCCTTTATGGCCCTCGAGGGAGACCTTAAATCGGTGAGGGGTCGGAGCCGGCGACAATTAAACCATTTCCTCCCGATTTGTCATTTGACGCCAAAACTCGAGATAACATAATTCGCTCGACGATTTCGCATTTAATTTGATTCTGCATAAATGTGAAATAAAGATAAAAATTTACAAAATAAAATTAAATTTACGAAATAAAATTAATCGAGCAATTTATTGTTATCATTTATTGTTAACAATAAATTGCTCAATTGATTTTATTCCGTAAATTTAATTTCATTTTGTAAATTTGGTCTTTATTTCACAATTTCACATTTATGCAGAATCAAATTAACATTAACACTCCGACTAGAGATTTGACTTTCATGACAGAGATTAGACATATATGCACACATGTTATAAAAATGTTCTATTTTCATGTTCGACGATTGTTAATCAATATCCAAAGCACTTACAGTTATTTAAAAAAAAATTTGATGAAGCGAAATCTTTGCAACGTGCCGTCGATATGATCATCGCTCAAAAATATTTCGATGAGAATAATTTATATTTATATTTCTCCTATAGGATTCGCTTACCGAGATTCCATCCTCAAAATCCGACGGGGCTTCCTACGTGCTGCCTAATCTGGAGAACGATTCCGTTGCCACAGAATTAAGAGCACGCACGGTCGAAAAGCTATGGAGCATCACCGAGGATCTTAACGTTCTCTACAAAGAGAATTGGACTCGCCTAGCTGCCCGAGAAGTCCTCGAGTTCCAAGAGAATCTGGCCCGCGGTATCAGGCGCACTTCTTACGAGCAGGTGCCTCCGCGGTCCCGAGAGCATCAGGCGGATAGACGGCTACACAGTCGACGATGGACTTTCAGCAGTAGCTTGCTGTATTCTCTGACGTTAATTACGACCATAGGTTTGTCCAAATTCGTCCAAATGACCGCGTTCATAACGGTCATTTTGACCTATATTATTCGCCAAATCGTACCCGTTATCTCGCACTCAATATAAACCAAGACTTGTACAATTGTCAAGTATTATTAGCTTGTAGCCACGAAATTCGAGCGTTTATTCTCGTCACATGATAGATATCGAAATATATGGAAATGATCATTTTGGTTTCAGGATATGGTAGCGTAGCACCACGTACAGTTTGGGGTCGGTTGATTACTATAGTTTACGCCTTGGCGGGAATTCCGCTGATGCTAGTCTATCTAAGCACAGTAGGCGACGTGCTCGCTCGAAGCTTCCGTCGTCTCTATGGACGCATATGTCGGCAGCCGCGTAACTGCACGCGAAAGCAGCAACCCCCGCCACCGCCACCGCCAGTTGGTGGTATAATGACCAAGGCGTATCGCTACGACAATCACGTGGAGACCAAGGGAGGCGGTAACTACTATTCGGCAAGTAGGGAAAGTTCTTGCGACGATTTGGGTATTCGCGGTACTGGCAGCGCAATCTTGCTCGACTGCGGTAGCGAGGGTCTCTTGCACGCTACCACCAGTTCGACAGCCGCGCTTCAGGTAATGTCATGATGATATTGTAACGATAAATCGAAAGAATTATATCATCATTTTTCTCTGAGAAATCCTTTCTAAAAAACCTTGTGTTTATAATATTAAAAATCAATCTGATTGTGAGATTTTGGATGGAAAAAATTGACCAATTATTCTGTTGATCGAATTGTTCAAATGTGATTTACTAATTCTTTCTCTGTCTGAGATCTCGGAGCGATTTATAATATTTTGTACTATGTCTTTTTGTTACTACAATATGATATCCCAGTCAAATCTGTCGAAAACAAATTTTGTCAAATTTTTGCTACAATTAATTTTGATAACAAAAAGGTATCAAATTTAATGCAAATTTTATTGTACTCAAAGTTGTTAGTAAATTGTTGGCAAAAATCAAGCAGCATATGCAACAATATGGTAGCAAATTGACAACAAAAGCCGAGCAAAACTTGCCGACTTAAATCTGATGACAAATTGACGACAAAAGTCGAACAAAATTTGCAAAATTGTGGGCTGGTTTCATCGGCTTTTGTTGTCAATTTGTCGTCAGATTGTTGCAAACCTTGCTTAATTTTTGCCAACAGTTTATCATGTCTTACGTTAGTAGATTTTGTTCCTTATCTGTATCATTAATTTGATAACAGTTTTGAGTACAACAAAATTTATTTTTGACAGATTTGGCTATTTGGGTATATGTAATAAAATTATAATGAGAAAAAAATTATATGTATATATATATATATATATATTGTATATGTATATATAATTCTAACAATTATTCTATTGGGATCTATTTTAATTTAACATATAAATTCTTTTCTTTTTCAAGGAACAATTTGATCACACATTTTATATCTTTCATATGAATTCTTTTTCGCCTACGACTCAGGATGTGACAACGGGTAACGGCAAGCGACACTTTCATCCGTGTTCGCTGTCCTTATCATCGACTTCGTCACCGGCGTACATGCTAGAGACCAATCCCGTCAGGATACCGATCAGCTTGTGTCTGACGATAATGCTAGTGTATATATGCGGAGGCGCGATCATGTTCAATCGTCTGGAAGGTTGGAGCTTGTTGGAGGGCGGGTACTTCTGCTTCACCAGCCTCGGTACGATCGGCTTTGGAGACCTGATGCCGGTGGGACGTAACGCACCCTCAACCACCCTGGAGGAGTTCAGCCTGTGTGCCTGCGCGCTCTACATCCTCGCTGGGATGGGCCTGATCGCCATGTGCTTCAACCTCGTCCAGGAGGAGGTGGTACGCGTGGTCAGGGTCTTCGGTAGAACCTGCGGCATGTCGTCGGGCGTGGTGGTCGGACCTATCGGTGGTACAGGTATCCCTGATGAAGGCATTCGGTGGGGAATCAACGATGAAAGTCTTCCACGAGAGATAGAAAGAGAGAGCATCGTGAACCATTGATTATTTTATCGACCGTCACGCATTTGTCGCGTTCAAAAACTGCAGCAGCAGCATATACACACCAAAAAAAACCTGTAATAATATTAATTAGTTCGATACCAAACCGGATATATAATATGCATCAATCAAACGTAATCGCAACGTTGCGGAACGGTTTTATCTTGCGAGTGCCCCGTTATTTTACGTAATAAAAGTTGTCGTCATTACCAATGCCAATCGCGACCGAAGAAACTGAGAATTTCCGGAAAGATCGAAAAGAACAACGCGACAACAGCGCGGTTGTACAACCGCCGAGACGAGTGGCAGTCACGAGTCACGCGTGGTCCCTCTCTTTTTCTTTGCAGCAGGCGCCACTTCCGGTCTCAAGGCCGATCTCGATGATGGAGGCGGCACCAGCGATTCGCGATTGTCCGAACAAGAAGAGGAGGCGATCGCCATGTCAATGGTGCCGGCCGGTTCCTGACAACATCAGGCCAGGAGCCCCGGCGACGGCAAGCTCCTGGCCCATCCCTCGAACACTGCCATAAAGTTGTCGCCAGGCCATCATTCGCTGCCACGCAAGAAGACGTTGCCGCTGGATGCTGCCGGCAGGACGGTGAGCAACTCGTCATCTTCGGGTACCGGCGTTCAACAGTTCCAGCGGGGCCAGCCGTTAAGAAGGAGCTGTTTGTCGCCGACGCAACATCATCATCTTCATCAGCAACAGCAACAACATCAACAACAACAGTTGCCGCATCATTATCCACACCGGCAGCAGGAGAGTTCTTTGCACTTTGAATATTTTGTGCCGCGCAGCGTCAGCGAGTTCAATCTCGCAGCTGCCGTAACGGACATGGCAGTACCGCCGCCACCTCCCGCGTCGGTTCTTAGGCCTTCCTCGACAATTGCACCCCCGGTTGCCACCGCAGTGATCACCACCACCAACCAGGTGCGATTACTAGACAGTGGTAGTGGTGGTGGTTGCAACATCGCTACCAGAAGTCGCGAGAAAATGGTTACGTTTGAAGACGAGGGAGTCAGTTGCGGCGTTACTTCGACACCCACTAGGAAGAACCTGCCCACCCTAGATAATGTTTTTATGTGACCTGTGCCGCAGATTTCACAGATGCTAAAGTGCTTGCTGCTGTGGATAGGCGAAAACCTCGGAATTTCCACACCTCGAATCTGAAGAGATGAACAATGACAAATCATCGAAATGTCGATGGATATTGTCATTTGGAAACGATGAAAAATTAAATAGATACAGGAATTATTTTTATGAAAAATTAATGCATGTGATTGGACGATAAACGGTTGAGAAATATCGACAACGAGTTGTTAATCCGGTGATTACCGAGACTTTTTGACGTTTTTGTTAAAAGAAGAAAAAAGAATTGAACGTATTCCGAATACATAATTGAAAAACATTAGGTGAGATATTAAGAATTAAGAACAAAATCATATCCAATTATGTCGTGGAACATAAATGCTAAATAAAATACAAAAACCTATTCACGATTTACGTGAATTCTGATTATAAAACAGAATACGAAACAGGCAAAGAGAAACGAAAAGACAGATCGACAACCTTTACAGAAAACTGCATATCTGTACAACGCGATGACATGGCAACTATAAGCATATAAAAGTACTTTAAATATCAAATATGGCGGAGGATGTGAAAACTGTTAACAATTTATAAAAACTCTGAAAGAGAACTGCGACATTAAGAAATATTTTGTTCGTAGGTAAAACTTTTATTAAAAATCATTTATTATGAGTTTTCGGCACTATAAGGAATTTTTTCTTGTCATCATAAGACAAGACTACCTAAATGAGTAACATTCAAGACAATATTTAAAAGACGCTTAAAGGTCTGATAGATATTCCAAACCTTCAAATATCTCTTAGATATCTTACAAACATCGTTGAGACGTTCATTTGATTACAGATGATTTGTAATGATTACAGAATCATTTTTATGTTCTACAATTTTTTAAGAAACTATATATGTCATTTAGTTTTATATTTTAATTTGCGATGCTATACGCAGAAACTATATATGAAAGCGAAGAATAAAAGACAAATACCCGTCATGCTTCAAAAAGATAGAAGAAAAACAAAGATATTATAATTGACAGTGAAAACTTTTCCTCAGCCAAATGTCGACTGTATATTATCCATTATCGTTGTCAAATTACTTACGCGCAGCGTAAGTTATCTCTATCGAGTATTCGAATTTTATGTCCGATAAGTCCAACTATGTATTCCGAATATTACACGAATAGTTTGTATATATATTATATATACATATATATATTCAAAAAATATATAAATATAAATTCTAACCTATACAACATACAATTATCCTATCACATTATTATTATAAATTACTAATTAAGTTATATAGGGTATTCGGTAAAGACTGTAACAATGTTAAAGAATAAATTCTTGAGATTATTTTAAAATTCTTACACCAAAATGTTAAGGCTATATAGTTTTTAAATTATAAATTATTATAATTTAAAAACTATATAGCCTTAACATTTTGGTGTAAGAATTTTAAAATAATCTCAGGAATTCATTCATAAGCATGTATAATCATATATAAAATATGTCCATACATCTCTTTTTCTTTTGTAAAATTACTTTTTAGTGTAATAAAAAAATAATAGTAATGTGAAAACATTATAAATAATTAAAGGGATAATCTTCGCATTGCTCATTTCAGAAAAAAACAAGTTTGGAAAAATGTAAAAAAGCTGCTCATACATAATTGTGCATAATTTTAAATATAATTATACATAAGTAATTTTTTTACATTTCTCCAAACTTGATTTTTTTTTAAACCAAATAGTATGAAAATTACCCTTTTCATTATTTTTAATGTTTTTATATTACTATTATTATTTCTATTACACTAAAAAGTAATTTTACAAAAGAAAGAGGGATGTATGAACATGTATGAGCATATTTCATATATGATTATATGTGTTTATAAATATTTATGTATGTTTATACATATTTATACATATTCATGCATAAAAAATTTTTTACCGGGAGTACAATGCAAAACCAATTACATCTAAACGCGCAAATTAGGCAATACGATTCGCTAATTTTAAATGTTTATAATTCAACAAATTATAGCCTCGATATTTTGGTATTGGAACTTTTCGTCTCAAAATGACTTCAGGAAACTATATCCTTAAACGTTGTTGTCGTCTTTACTAGACACTTTGTTTTGTATATACATATACATACACCTTGATAAAAAAAATTATCAAAATATATTTGTAGAATTTTTCATATTATAAAGATTTTGAAAAAATATCTTAAATTTTTTTAGATTTTATAAGTTCTTTTCTTCGAAAATTGTAAAATGTTTTATATGCATATAATTGACATACATATGTAAAGAATTCTAGAAAAGATGCATACTTTCTCAGTCTTTTTGAAAAATGTTCCAATTTGTATAAAAAATTGGAGAAATTTTTAAAAAGTTATAAAATTACACAGAAATTCTGAAAAATTAATACATATAAGGAATTTTAAGAAATACTAGAATGTAACTGCCTATTACGGTCGGAGCTGGATCTTCGTTGTTTTAAATAATTCAATCTTGAATTACTAATATATACTATATATGTACTTGCATATATACCATATTGTAGTCTTTTTCAAACTG